AACTGTATGACCAGAAACCAGTGGAGCAACATCAACTGTATGACCAGAAACCAGTGGAGCAACATCAACTGTATGACCAGAATCAACTGTACCACCAGAAACCAGTGGAGCAACATCAACTGTACCTCCAGAAACCAGTGGAGCAACGTCAACTGTATGACCAGAAACCAGTGGAGCAACATCAACTGTACCACCAGAAACCAGTGGAGCAACATCAACTGTACTTCCAGAAACCAGTGGAGCAACGTCAACTGTATGACCAGAAACCAGTGGAGCAACATCAACTGTACCACCAGAAACCAGTGGAGCAACATCAACTGTACCACCAGAAACCAGTGGAGCAACATCAGCTATACCACCAGAAACCAGTGGAGCAACGTCAGCTGTACCACCAGAAACCAGTGGAGCAACGTCAACTGCATGACCAGAAACCAGTGGAACAACATCAACTGTACTTCCAGAAACCAGTGGAGCAACATCAAATGTACGATCAGAAACCAGTGGTGCAACATCAACTGTACTTCCAGAAACCAGTGGAACAACATCAACTGTACTTCCAGAAACCAGTGGAGCAACATCAACTGTACGATCAGAAACCAGTAGAGCAACATCAACTGTACTTCCAGAAACCAGTGGAGCAACATCAACTGTATGACCAGAAACCAGTGGAGCAACATCAACTGTACTTCCAGAAACCAGTGGAGCAACATCAAATGTACGATCAGAAACCAGTGGTGCAACATCAACTGTACTTCCAGAAACCAGTGGAGCAACATCAACTGTATGACCAGAAACCAGTGGAGCAACATCAACTGTACGAACAGAAACCAGTGGAACAACATCAGCTGTACCACCAGAAACCAGTGGAGCAACATCAACTGTACGAACAGAAACCAGTGGAACAACATCAGCTATACCACCAGAAACCAGTGGAGCAACATCAACTGTACCACCAGAGACCAGTGGAGCAACATCAACTGTACCACCAGAAACCAGTGGAGCAACATCAACTGTACTTCCAGAAACCAGTGGAGCAACATCAACTGTACCACCAGAAACCAGTGGAGCAACATCAACTGTACTTCCAGAAACCAGTGGAGCAACATCAACTGTACCACCAGAAACCAGTGGAGCAACATCAACTGTACTTCCAGAAACCAGTGGAGCAACATCAACTGTACCACCAGAAACCAGTGGAGCAACATCAGCTGTACCACCAGAAACCAGTGGAGCAACATCAACTGTACCACCAGAAACCAGTGGAGCAACATCAGCTGTACCACCAGAAACCAGTGGAGCAACATCAACTGTATGGCCTGAAACCAGTGGAGCAACATCAACTGCATGACCAGAAACCAGTGGAACAACGTCAACTGTACCACCAGAAACCAGTGGAGCAACATCAGCTATACCACCAGAAACCAGTGGAGCAACGTCAGCTGTACCCCCAGAAACCAGTGGAGCAACATCAACTGTAGTTCCAGAAACCAGTGGAGCAACATCAACTGTACTTCCAGAAACCAGTGGAGCAACATCAACTGTACTTCCAGAAACCAGTGGAGCAACATCAACTGTACGACCAGAAACCAGTGGAACAACGTCAGCTGAACCACCAGAAACCAGTGGAACAACATCAACTGTACTTCCAGAAACTAGTGGAGCAACATCAACTGCATGACCAGAAACCAGTGGAGCAACATCAACTGTACGATCAGAAACCAGTGGAGCAACATCAACTGTACCAGCAGAAACCAGTGGAACAACGTCAGCTGTACCACCAGAAACCAGTGGAGCAACATCAACTGTACGATCAGAAACCAGTGGAGCAACATCAGCTGTACCATCAGAAACCAGTGGAGCAACATCAGCTGTACCACCAGAAACCAGTGGAGCAACATCGGCTGTACCACCAGAAACCAGTGGAGCAACATCGGCTGTACCACCAGAAACCAGTGGAGCAACATCAGCAACCATTTCATTGTCGCTGTCGTGGGCGTGTTCCTGGCGGTCAGTCACACCGAGGTCACACTTGTCGATGTTGCCGTTTCCTGTCTGATGTGTCTGACCTCCGTCCTGTGGCCTGGTGCGTTCAGACCTGCCCAGGTGACACTTCGCCGCCGCCTCATGGCACGATTCACGTCACGCCGAAAACACGCTCCCACATGTGTGTTTGTGTGTGTGCATGAGTCACAGTGTGTGTCCTCTCCATATTTATTTGATGCTGCTCCATATTAGTCTCTGTGTGTGTGAGTGTGTGTGTGAGTGTGTGTGTGTGAGTGTGAGTGTGTGTGTGTGTGTGTGTGTGTGTGTGTGCGTGAGTGAGTGTGTGTCTGTGTGTGAGTGAGTCATTGCAGTGGGTGTGTGTGTTTTTATATCAGTGTGTGTGTGTGTGTGTGTGTGTGTGTGTGTGTGTGTGAAGTGTGAATTGAACAGAGCTGTGACCAGATGGGCTCTGTAGATCAGGTTACCTGTTTATAGAGCAGCATCTGTCCACCTTGTCAATCAAACAGAGAGAGGATGAGGATGAGGAGGAGGAGGATGAGGAGGAGGAGGAGGAAGGAGGAGACAGAAGCCAGGTTTCCATCTAAATATAAAAAATGTAACCAAATTTTTAGAAAATCTGCCAAAGAAAATGCTAATTAATGCGTGTTTCTATCCACTAGTGTTTTGTGATTATTAGGAGTTGGTTCGTTGGGATAAACAGCTGGTGGAGCTGATTCTGCAGTCGGTGCAGAAGGACACTATTATTATTATTATTATTATTATTATTATTATTATTAGAAAGTGCAAGACCCTATTGTTCCTGTTAGAATTATTATTATTTGGTGCCTGTTCGACCACGTATTTGACCCCCGCAGCATTCTCGAAAAGTCATGAAAATTTGCACAAAATTCAAACGTAGCGGAAATACCGATATGACATTGTCCCCGTGCACGGGCGCCGCCAAACGGCTAAGGCACACCCCCCAGAATCAGCCCCCAAGACACGTAAGGCCGACATGTACGAAAATTGCTACACATGTGTATCATGATAAAAGAAGCAGAAAAGTCTCTTGGACCCATACCTCAAACCCAACAGGAAGTCCGCCAATTTGGATTCTGTGGGCATTTACACACGTTGTATTTGAACGAACTCCTCCTAGGACATTTATTGCACCGACTTCAGATTTGGACACAGTTGGCTGTGTCCAAATCTGAAGTTTAGATAAACACATTCACCATTAAAAGTTGTGCTCCTCAGTTGTTTTCGTCAAACCTCCTGCCCGTGGCGTGGCGTCCCGTGGCATCCAATTTCAAACCTTCGCCATAAAAAGAGGGATTCGTAATAACTTCTGCGTACATGATCCGACTGCAACGAAACTTCACATGTTCGATAAGAGTCCCGCCCTGAACACGTCTATGTGATAATATTCAGTAATAGTCAGAGCGCCACCTAGTGGCAACAGGAAGTATCACGTTTTATATTTTAAAGTGCGTTTAGGCTAATAACTTTTGTATAGTTTGTCTCACATTCAAAAAACTCCAAAAAATAAAATCCACACGTTCGGTGAATGGAGCTGAATCTCCCCATATAGGCCACGCCCATTCCCCCCCGGAGTTTTTTAGCTAGAGCGCAAAATGTCCTTAAACTACTTTTTCGTGTTCCTCCTATGTGCTTTGTCCGATTCGCACAAAATGTTGCACGTAGCATCTGGGGACCGTCCTAATAATAAACTAATTGACAGAATTTTGATATTTCTAAAAATAAGCACGTTATAAAATTAGCACTTCCTGTGGATTTTTGTTCAAAAGAGGAAGTGGAGTATTTTTCAACACTGGTATGTCCGATTGACACCAACCTTGGGTCCATAGTTCCCCATGTCTCCCTTAGCCATCGTGCACAATTTCAGGCTATCGCCACTAGGTGGCGCTCTTTAAAATTAAGAACTTTGGCAACAGGAAGTATCACGGATGATCAGATCCAGCTGAAATTTACTCATAAAATGTAAAACACATTGTTGATGATATGTGACGACTGCAGTGAGTGGGCGTGTCTGTGGCGTGGCGGGAAATTTTGATGTATCGCCACAAAACACGAACTCGCTATAACTGGACATTATTCAAATACATGTTATAAGAGTCCGCCCTGTAAGCCACAGGCAACAGTGGTTGAGAAGCCCCCCTGTAGTAATTTGTAATTGTTAGTTTTTATACAGCTCGTAGCCAAAGCAAATTTATGTTGTAAGTTGTAGTTTTTATACAGCGTACAAGTAATAAAGTTGTGTTTTTGTATAATCAATAAAGTTGCTTTTTGGTATAATCAATAAAGTTGTGTGTTTGTACAGTAATCAATGAGCTCTGTGTCGCAGTTGAAGATTGATTGACGGGTGAATGTCAGGTTGAATTGGTTGAAATCAGTTAGTTCATGCTGACGTAAGCACGCGTCACACTTAGTTTTACAGGAAGACACAATGGTTGGATTTTATATAAAAACTACACACATGTTTTATTAAATGTTCGGGGCTACATTCGGGGATATAATCGGACTGTCGGTCCTCTTCCTCTCGCTGTGACTTTAACGTCGGAGCTTTGTGGAGCTTTTGAATGAAAATGTGTCTGGATGTGATCCAGAGCAGAAAAAGGAAAGAAGGACTTTTCCATCTGATTATTCTTCTTCTTCGACGGGTTGAAACTTTTATTTTGTTCTGTTTGTTCTCCTCTTCATCGTCTTAACTCCTCTTCCTCATCCTTATCTAACTCGTGTTTCCCCTCCTTCCTCCTCCTCCTCATGTTCTCCTTCCCCCTCCTGACTCTTCTGCTGATCATCTGTTCCTCCTCTTCTTCATCCACCTCCTCCTCCAGCTCATGATCATTGTCTTCTTCCTCATATTCCTCTTCCTCTTGTTCACTCCTCTTCTCCTCTTTGTCTGTTTCTTCTTCCTTCTTCCTCCCTTTGCCTTCCTATCTTCCTCTTCATCCACCACCTCCTCCAAGTCTTCCTCCTCTTTATCTCCTTCTTGCCTCCTCTTTCCTCATCTGCTTCCTCTTCATCCCCAACCTTCCTCCTCCTCTTCCATCCTTCATCCCCAGTTCTCTTCCTCCTCGTTGTTATTATCTTCCTGCTTTCTCCTCTCTTCTTCCTCATCCCCGCCCTCCTCCAAGTTCTCCTCTTCTTGTAGCTCGTCATTATTGTCTTCCTCTTTATTCTCCTCTTCTTGCTCCTTCTCTTCATCTTCCCCTCTTTCTCTCGTTCACTCTTCTTTTCCTCTTTTTTCCTCTTTCTCCTTCCTCCTCTTCGCCTTCCTCCCCTCTTCTTCATCCACAAGGTCCTCCTCTTTCAACACAGTTATTGTCTTCCTCCGTCACTGCCATCCTTCCTCTAGAGTACTTCTCCTCCTCCTCCTCCTCTTCTCCTTCTTTCCTCCTGACCGTGCTCTTTCCACTCCTCATCTTCCTCCTCGCTTCCATCCTCTCCTCTTCTTTATCCCCACCCTCCTCCAAGTCCTCCTCCTCTTCCAGCTCGTTGTTATTGTCATCCTCCTCATTTTCCTCTTCTCCTCTTCCTCCTGTTCACTCCTCTTCTTCTCCTCTTTGTCTGTCTCTTTCTCCTTCAATCCTTCCTCCTCCTCCTCCTCCTCCTCCTCTTCCTCTTTGTGTTGTTCTTTGTTTGCAGAAACTCTCTCTGCACTCAGAAAAAACATCGTTCTCCCCCTCCAGAAATCAATGCAAATATTTTCATCTTCTCTCTTTCTCTTTACGTCTCTCTCTTCCCTCCTTTCTTTCTCTTTCTCATGTATATTTTTCTCCAAATAAAAGTGTATTCCCACCAAGAAATCAATGCAAATGCTGCCATCGATTTCCGCTCTCTTTTCTCTCGTTTTTTCTCTCCCCACCGAGCAAATGTGTCTTTTTTCGCTCTGAAATCAATACAAATATTTTACTCTTTTTGTCTCCTCTCTCTCTCTTTCCTCCATTCTCCCTCTACCTTGCCCACCCTCCCTCGCCTGCTTCCCCTTTGTCTCTTTCCTCCAAATGTGCATTTTTCTCCGAGACCAATGCAAATATTTTTCCCGTTTTCTGTCTTTTTTGTGTCTCCTGCTACCTCCCTCTCTCCCCCATCTCTCCCCCCTCTCCCCCCTCTCTCTCTCTCTCCCTCTCTCTCCCCTGCCTCTCTCGCCCTCTCTCGCCCAGCGGCCGTCATTATGCGGCTGATTGCTGCGTTTAGCCTGGTAATTGAAATAATGAGAGAAGATTACCTCGCCGCTTTTAGTCACCTCGTCTAATCCACCAATCAGCTGTCAGCAGGTCGAGATAGAGAGTGTGTGTGTGTGTGTGTGTGTGTGTATAATGTATATGTGTAGATATGGATGTTTGTTGCCTATAGAAGTATGTTTGTGTGTGTGTTACATCTGCTGTCGACGGCGGGGAATCAGGAAAATCAATGACGCTGTGTTCCCTCAACATGACCGCCACAAACAACAAACCAGCTCTCTCTGTGTTTGTGTGTGTGTGTGTGTGTGTGTGTGTGTGTGTGTGTGTCTGTGTGTGTGTGTGTGTGTGTGTGTGTGTGTGTGTGTGTGTGTGCTGCTGTTTTCCATCTGATGTCGATGTGTCTGTTGTTGCCGTTTGAGTTTTTTCATGTTTATCTGAGCAGTTTTTTTGCAGAGATGCTGAATTCTTTCTGGCATTGACGTCTTCTTTGGGATCCTCGGGCGACCGGGAAGGGGTCAAAGGTCACGGACACGGGATGAACATTACAGGGGGGAGGTAGGAAACGACAGGATCTGGTCTGTAATAGACACGGACATTCGACAAAGACAAAAAAACTCCCCCCGGGGGGCGCCGGAGAGTTGAGCGTGGAGGCAAAGATACTGCAGGAGGTGAATAGTCTCTGTGAACCCCCCCCCCGCAGGTCTGTGAAGAGCTCAGTGTGGTCGACTCTGGCCGTCGCCATCTTAGCAGTCCTGACTCCGCCGGCTCCCGGCTGATCCAACAATGGGCAAAGAGGTGGAGCAGAATAAAGCCTGGTCACTGAAAGCAGCCACGCCTTTTAATTATACAAAACCTTAATCCTTAATATAATTTAAAGAGGTGTCTTGTATAAACGTACAGTTGTTATTAACAGGGAAATTATAAGGCTGTAAACATTTTAATATGGGGCCTTATGGAGACTCACTGCTGGAGCCAGCCTCTAGTGGCCATTAGAGGAACTGTAGTTTCCTTCATTCTGCGTTAGCTTCATGTGCAGCCACAGAGGTTGCTGATGGATAATAACAGTTAACATATAATACTGTCAAAATACAACAAATTAAATTACTCAAAAATGTCATTTAATGTTAAGTTTAGCATTTCCTGTAATATATTTGTTTCAATGTACAAAGCCAATGCATATATCCATGATTAGTAAGGAGCTAAAATGTGACGTAAGTCTGGACCAGGAGGAATTGAACTTGAATCGGTTCCATTCATCAGAAATAACGTCGGTCCTAATTGTGGTAATTATCTGATATTGTCTGTAAAA